ATCAACAGGAAGGAGCGCATAGTGCATGATGGCCACTTGAGTGTAGACAATGCATTTGTGGCCTTTTCGAGTCACTGTGGAACCACAACGGCATGGTCGTCCTGAGGCAGCCGCTTCATTCTGATATCTGTTGTCGAGATCTTTGCAGAGATCCAGCAGGCGCCTGTGGTCCTGAAGGAGGTGTTGAAAGATAGCTCCTGGTCTTCGAGTTTGGCGTCCACAAAGAACACAACTCGCCTTCAAGGCCATCAGGAAGTCATTGCGTGCCAGGATCTGTTCCACTTCATGGTCTCTGACCAGCTCCCTTAGTTCCGGCCAAGTGTATGGTACATGATCTCCAACTGGTCTTGCAGGGTTGAACGACTTGCAGCTGCCTGATTCAATATGAGTGCGGAGCCCATAGTGATGTCGAAGTACTTGATGGCAGTGACTGCATGTAGCCGTACCGTCAGCGGAATCACGTCCTGGATGGAATTCGAAGGGGCGCTTTATCGAGGATGGTGTGGTTTTTCTCCTTTTGAGAACTTCAGGAATGGCATGGTCACCGTCAGGAACAGGATGACGAAGAGCAATGGGAACACCTGTTTCAAGTTCATCAGTGAACTTTCCAGCATCCACCAATGATTTGAGTATTGCCAGTTGTCTCACAGCATGGCAAGGGTGTGCCTTGGGGCGGTGGATGATGATAGCTTCCTGGAATTTCCCTTCTGACCAGTGTTGATGATGCATGAGATTCAGGTGCTTCAAGAGTTCAGTGCCGGAGGCAAAATGCCGAAAGCACAAAATACAATGCTTACGAATGAGTGTGCTCTTTTTCCAGCAGGGCCACCCAGGCTTCTGTACGAGCATGTTCACGTAGGGCAGGCATGTCAGCCGGTGGTACCTGCAGCGGTCTGTCGGAGCTGAACTTTGGGCAGTGTCCTCTTGTGATGTGTTTGACAAGGCCTCCCCAGGTGGAGTGCTTGAGGTCACAGTGTGCACATTGTGGGAGTCCTTGCAAAGCATCTCGAAGAATCTCATATCTAATTGTTTGAGAGCTTTGTGAACCCGTGTCAGGTGAGCATGTGCTTCAGTTGTCGTTTTGCTGACATGATCACAGTATGGACAGTACATGGCCTCCATGGGAGCATCAGGTTCACGTTGACTGGAACCCTCAAACCCCTGCATAATTCGTTGTTCAATGGATGCTGTTGAAATGGATTGCAGGTAATCATCAGGAGCAAGGCCTGATTGTACACGTCGGAGTCGATCAAGGGCTCGAAGCCAGCTTTCCTGCAAATGAGTCTTGGGTGAACATACTCCCAGGCGACTGATCTGTGGTTTCATGCGTGATGCGCGCAGCCTTGGTGAGCCCTGCGCATTGAATTGCATGGCAATAGCTGGATCTAATGCAAGTTGTCCAAAGTTTGGCCTCGTTAGCATGACTGAAACCCTGGTGTCCTTGAAACCAGTACTTGAGTCTGCCATATGCTGCACGTCCAATTTGAAGGCGATGGACAAGTGTGGCTTGTTCAAAGGCAAAGAACGAGAGTCGGGCTCCAAGGTAGGTGTGACAGGGAACAATTTGAACATACTGTGTGTGATTCCTCCGTGGTATTGCCAGCCATTGCTTCCACGGAACCAATGAACATGTCGTTTCAGTATCTGCTTAGCTTTGAGCCCTGTCAATCTAAGGAGGGCAACTGTCTTCTCAAGTGAAATCTCCACGCCTAATTCAACCAACAGATCAAGGAGGTGACCAATCAATTTCAATGCATCTCGTAATGCAAACTCACTGTCACTTTTCCAACGTAAAAGAAGGTCGTCCGCGTAGGTCAGTAGATGTTCAATCATCCAATGTCTGTAGACCTCTGGATCACCTGACAGATATTGCTTGCCGAACTCGTGCATCAAGTACATCAAGAAAGCTGTCCACTGTAGTGGAGAAGCTTTGCATCCCTGCCTCACACCACATGTTGTGGGTATGGCTTGATGAAGTCCTCGATGATGGACATGGTATTGCGCCTGATCCAACCAATGAAGGAAAAGTTCGGCCATCTCAGGAGGGCAATGACTCAGGGAGAGACCCTTTTTCAAGGCAGAACGTGGAAGACGATCGAATGCCTGCTTCATATCCAGAGAGAAAAGTAGACCTCCGCAAAGTCCCGGACGTTGTTGACCTGCCAAAGCTGTCCATGGTCCAGGAGTTGCATCCATACACATAGAGCGAATGTTTGCACAGAACTCAAAAGCTATGTATAGAGCCTCCTGTACTCCACGATGAGGAAGGTATGCCAGAATAGGCCACCTGCACAGAGTGGGAAGCATGTGAGGTCTGGCTAAGCTCCCAGCACTGCCTTGCCCACACCACAGGTGAGGGCAATGGGTCTCAAGTCCATCGGTGAGTGGACCGAGCGCTTGGCCAGCAGGGCCAAGTGGGCGTCCTTCCAGCTGGTGGGGATCATGGGTTGTTTGCCCCACTGCTCATGAAGAAGTGGAACAATCCAATTGGCTATGGGCTGTGATAACGCCTTCAGGAGAACGGAGGGGATGGTGTTTGGTGCCACAGCCTTGAAGGCATTGAATTTGCGCAGTTGCTGAGCCACATCCTGTACTGTGAGTGGAAAATCAGTATGCGCAAGTTGCGAAATCTCTGAGGTAGAGGCCGTGAAAGTCTCAGTGAAGTGGTCCGTCAGAATCTTGATCTCGTCCTCTGGCGAGTTTGATCCACCTGTGGGCGATCTGAATCTAATCATTCTTCTTGTTTGCTTTGGTGCCAAAGTTCGAGTTGCCTCGTACAAGCCTCTTGCATCGTGTCTGCAAGCCGCCATTGTAGCCTGTTGAGTTGCTTGCAGCAGTTTCTCTTTCTTCTTGACATGTCCCAAGGATCGAAGTTCTCTTGTCAGTTTCTGATGTTGAGCAGCGTGAAACCAGGCCTGTACCAAATTGGTGAGGTCCATGGACGGGAGGTTCTTCAGGTAGAAGAGATGCTTCCATTTCCTGGCCACAAGAGATTGAGACTGCTGCTGTGTCCATAGCGGTGAGTGTGTGGAAACAGATGTTGTAAAACTCTTCCTGCACAAGGTGAGGAGTCGCGGGATAGGTGCCTCAACATCCAGAGTCTTGGATGAGGAGAGGATAGTGGTGGCCTTCTGCTCAAAGGTGCGCCACTCATCTGTTTGCCCCTGAAAGGCCTGCCACACATTCTTGACTGTTTGTTTGGAGATTACTCCTTTTCCTTGCTGATGCTGAAAATACCAAGCTCTCCATCCCAATGGAAAAGAACAGGCTATTGGGTAGTGATCTGGATAGGTTCGACCCTTGATGAGTGGAAAATGCGTGAGTCTGAAAGCCTGTTTGGCTTCATGGTCAGCTTGTGGGAAGAACCAGCCGGCCCTACAAAGGAAGGTGTCTTGTCTGTCGACCTTAAGGAACACAGTGACCATCTTTGCACCAAATCTGTGAATTCAGGTGTGGGAGTACACGATGTGGAAGTGTGAAGTGTAGAGTTAAAATCACCTGCAATGACCAGAACATTCCGAAATGGTGTCCTGCAAATGACCTGATGAAGTTCCTGCCAAAAAAGATTGCGAAATTTGCTGGGATTCCCTTGATCTTTTGTGACGTTGGTTGTATACTGGTAACAATTCACCACATCCACATTGCCTGAACCCAAGTGACACCTGAGGTGCTGCAAGCGTCCAGGTCTCGGGGAGGCATAGCTGACATTCTGGATCTGGCAGAAGTTCTTGTTCACCAAGGTGAGAAGACCACCTTTCTGTCCTGATGTGTCTGCCGATGGGAATGCAGCAAATCCAAATGTCTCCCATGGTTCCTCAAGTGACCAGGAGGTGCCCTGTAGTAGGGCCAGGTCGAATTGTTGAATATAGATCCAATTAAGCAATTCAATGTACGTGGCACTGTTCATGGATTGGCAGTTCCAACAAAACAGGGTTGCACGTTTCCCAGGTTTCTTCCTCTTCGAGGGTGTAGGCACCGCTTCAGGCTTCTGGATGGTGTGGGGGAAAGTCAGCGGCGCAGGATCCGGCAGTGTGGTGTGCAGCTTGCCTCTGTAGACCACAAAGCCATTGAGCGCCAGTCGACGTAGGGCTCTTTTGAAACTGCGCTTGACTGGAGGACAGTGTGCCCCGAGGGGCGCTTCTTGGGGCCCTAATCCAGGTTCTTTGGGGCATGGTTTGCCGGGGACACAATTGTTTCCAACCCCTTTAGAGCGCACCCTGGTATGCGCTCTACCCTCACCTTTAGCTCCAAAAAGCGTCATCTGTGAAAGGTCGAGCGGTTGGAGCTCCCGGAATTGGGACCGGGCAATGCACAGCTTCTCGTAGGGCTTGCAGCTACCGGATGCTTCTGGCCAGATTGTTGGTGGAGGAGCGGAGCACAGAGGAGCCACCAGAGCAGGAGCCACGAAAGCAACTGCAGCCGGGACTCCTTCAGAACTGCAACCGGGCCATCATGCCATAGCTGGAGCACAAATCCAGTGGATACGAGGTCTGAGCACTGAAAGGCTTCCAAGGGAACCAAGGGACCAGAGGACCACGGGACCAGAGGACCAAGGGACCAGAGGACCAAAGGACCAAGGGGCCAGGGAAGCAAGGGACCAGAGGACCAAGGGACCAGAGGACCAAGCGACCAGAGGACCAAGGGACCAGGGGACCAAGGGACCAGGACAAAGGGAGCAAAGGACCAAGCGATCAGGGAACCAGCAGGCCAGGACCAAAGGAGTAGAGGTAATTTTATTTTTGATACGAATTAATGTTTGCTTGATAGGAAACAAGTTTTTTTTGATAGGAATCAATTTTCTTTTTGATAGGTATCCCTCCCTGGCGCCGATCCGGACGATGGCATTCTAAGTTTCAGTCCGACAGTATACATATTCTTAAAAACGTAAATAAGAGAGAGGCCACGTCTCTTTCCCTAGACCGCTCATCTTATCTTTTCTCAAACCAACAAATGCCCACCATGTCTGACGTGGCCCAACATTCCAGGTGAAGCCAGGCTGCTATGTATGGCGATATGTTTTTAGGATCGGCAGATTGCCTAACATCCAGGTCGTAGAAGCCCTCGGATGTGATGCCCTCCACTGTGGCAATGATCCTTTGGCCAAAACTCTTGCTCTGGTAGTACCTCGCCAAGAACCCGTCCAAATTTGAAGGCAACAAATCAAGCCACCAAAGGAGGAAAGTACTGCTTCGAGCATGCTACGGCAATCCCCGAAAGGAGGGCCCTCTTGGACTAAACAAGCTCCCCTCAGACTTGGATGCATCAGGATCAATTCACCCATCATTACCTGGACAAACAAACCAATTTGATTGGCACAGGAAATGAATCCAAGATGCACTTTGTCCCCCACATTGAACTTCATGAGTGGACCTGAAATCAATTCCAATTGCTTGGACGTTTCAAAATGCCCTAGTCACGACAGAGCTTGACTACTATGATCTACTATAATGAAAGTGACAAGGGCTCAGGGATATCCACAGGGAACAACCACCACAGTTGCCTAAGGGGCAAATGGGATGAGAGGTAACCTATAGTGCGGAGAACCCTGAGGAAACCAGGTACACGGCGGCGAGCCCCGGAAGGTCGGGTCCCCGTTGTGTACCGGGTGTGGGGTGCGTACGAAGGAGCACCTACGGCAGCCTAAGAACACACAACACGAATTGCGCGAAAGCGAAATGCACCGGCACGACGACGGAACGACGGCGTGTCGAAGCTGAAAACCAGCAGCGCGCCAGTTTTCTTGAGCCAAAAGCGAAGTCAGTGAGAAACCTGAAAAGGTGTTTGAACTGACCTAGCTAAACATGTCTGTACATGAACCGCATGACAAATAAGGGGTTAATCCTGGTTCATGAATTTCGACTCCCCCCTCGCCGTTTTGGCGTGCCATGGGTTGTATGTACAGGACTTAATTACCGCGCATTAAGCAGCGGATTTGGCAGCTACATCGGCTCCTAGCGAAAAGCTTCGATCCCTAAGGGATGGCTTCGGCTCGCGAATATCCGTACGTACGCCGAGAAGGCACAAAGCTTTATACCACTTCTGTGGTGGCAGTGCTTTTGTAAAGATGTCGGCGGCCTGTTCGTTGGTGTCGATGTATTGCACATTGATGCATGGGTCATCGAGACACTCTTTCAAGGATGAGAGATTTATCTTGTGTGTCCGGCCGATATGTCGAAGTTTGGGGAATACCCCTTACGAACGACTATGATGGTGGCTTGGTTGTCCTCGTGGATAACTAAGTCCACCGGCCTCTGCAAGAGTTTCTCCCAGAGCTGGAGAGCAGGTATGCCCTCCTGGTACAAAGAGTGTGCCAAACTTACCACTTCCCGACTCCGTGGTGGAGCGTGAAGTGGATGTCTGTCTTTTCGAGATCCATGCAAGTGGGAAAAATGTGTTGGGACCTTTTAGTACGAGGAACCCGCCCGAGGTTGACTTAACGTCACCGGCATCGCCTCCAAAGTCTGCTGGGACCAGCTGCTCCCATCGTCGTCCACCATCCAGGTCAATCCGAATGCAGATGTGTATGAGCTAGATGCAGAAGATTCGGACAATTCCGATCCTGAAGCCCGCTCTCGACGCATTCGTAACCTAGAGGGTCGGACCGAAGACGCCGGCTGGCTAACCTGGCTTGACGGTGAACGTCCTAAGGGCGCCCTAGCCCATCATCCTAAACCGAAACTTGTCGAGCCAGCATCCAAGCGAGTCCGTGTTGTCGTAACTGCCGATGCACTAAAGGGGACACCCCCCGTCTCGCCCCCGCATGTTCGACAAGTGATCGTAGTCCCTAAGAATAAGCCTAAGGGTGCATCAGTAGCTGCAGGTCCTAGGGTCCCACTCCATGAGCCCCAACTGTCAGCAGCCATTGAAACGGTGTTAGTGCCATCCGGTCTGCCTCAGCCGCCGCCTCAGGCGCGGGAGACAGCCCAAGCAAGTGCTACGCCAATTGCGCCTCCGGTGTCTCAGCCACCTGTTGTCAAAGCGTCGAAGTCCCACAGCACGCCGCCTCCGGCGGTATCGATCGAGTCTTCGTCAGCTTCTCCACCGCCGGCAAAGCCGCCCTCGAAGGCGCGCCCTGTTCGTTCTAGATCACCTCCTACTAAGGTTAAGCCACCGCCGCCCGAGGCGAGACAGTTGTCTGCCGAGGCCAAACGGCGAGCTTTCGAGGCCTTCGAAGAGCGTAACAGACCTGTGCGCGTGGAGACCGACAACACAGGCAAGCCGCTGCCAGCTGGTGCTCGTGTGCCAGTAGGCGCGGGCATCACGGCTGCAGCCCCGTCTGATCCAACTCCACCTGGCGACGGTGACGACGACCAAGGCGAGCCATCGACCCCAAGATCCCCTAAGATACCCCCAAGACCTAAATCACCTGATCGACCACCTAGCCAGCATGCCGCATCGGGGCTCCCTTACAAGACCCCGCCAGGTTCGCTAACTGGAAGATCAGCTTCTTGGGAACGGGATCCAAGTCGGCAACCAGAGCCAGCTCCTCCGAGACCTGTAACTCCTAAGAGGAAGCCACCACCACCTAATCCTTACCCATACCCATATGGTAAGCCTGCTGGTGCGCCGTCAGTGCCTCATGATACCGCATGGGCCTCGCAAGCTGCCTCTTCGGCGGCTGCACCTCGTGTTAGACAATTCGTGGTGGGCACCTAAGTCTGCTTCACGCGCCGACAGTCACGAGGAGCCGCCATCCGGTGGAAGGCTTGCCCCGCATCGACCTCCTTCCAGTAGTCCGCCCTCTGACACACCTAGGAGTATACAACCCACTACGAGATATCAGCCTAACCAGTTGCCCCGGTTGTTCGGACAGCAACTTGCTGATCCCCTAACACTAATTCCCGCACAGCCCGGTGTGTTTGAGGTAGGCCTTGACTGGCATAAAGTACTAGATACGATGCTGTCACCGGTCCGTACTCCGACAAACATTTTGACGGATCGCCTCAAGCGACTCGAGTCATTACCTGCACGCATCACAATCATTTCCTTTACCGGAGCGGGCGACCGCTACGAATCAACGGTTCGGGAAATCGATGCGTTCAGGGACCAATGCCGTGCCGCCGGCTGCCAACTCGGCGGAGGCTACTTCTTGACTAACGAGAAGACCGGGCGCGGCGGAAAGGCAGAACTCATAAGCCGTCTTCGAATCAGAGCTTTCATGGGTGACCGTGCGGACATCCTCGCCGAGATCCGAAGGACAGGCTGTTTTGCCATGGGCTTCAACGCCCGTGATTACCCCCAGGAGACTAGTGGAGCAATACAGGCGTTAACCGACTACATATGGTCGCGCCTAGCCCACTGGGACGCTCACCATCCGCTACAGGCCTTCGTACTTCAACAATACTCGGGCCAAGGCGGTCGTGGCGGCGGCGGACGCCGTCGCCGGTGACCCGTCATGCCAGCCGCTGCTTTATGCGCGGGCCCTTCGTTCGTTAGGGTAGGCATGTTCCTGGGTGCATTGATGATCACATGTTTTATGACCTCAACAAACCATACCATAACTTACAACCTCATCGTTGTTGTTTTGGTTTCATGTTGATGCACTCATGCCGCTGCCCAATGGCGCGGAAGTCCTGCCGCTGAAAGCGCGGGCCTGGGCAAAGACCCTTTTGTTTTCGCGCGCGCAAAAGTTTGCTAGCGCGCCTGGGAAGGATGGCGAACCACACAGGTATCACACCTCCCTCGACCCCTCCTCCGCCGGTCGGTCTCGCTCGTCACCTGAGTTCGACACAGCCCCAAGCAGAGGTAGGGTCCCGGCCGCGTCGGTCACCATCACCACCAGAACCCGGGGTACGCGACAGAACCGCGTCGAGCCCCGCCCTGGTCCCAGGACAATGGCGGAAGAGTCACCTTCATCGGAGGAGCCCAGGCGGCATCGTGGCGTGAGTGCACGGGGCAGGGAGCTTTTGGACAGGGGGGCGCCTAGTAGTTCTAGTCAACGGCCAGTACCCTTCATATCACTAGCTTCTATCCCTAAGCCGTCCCAACCTTACACACATAATCCTATAGACCCCAATATGCCGGCAGCTGCTTTTGTAGCTGGAGCAGCAATACAAGAGGCTAACCAAGCGGCACACATAGCGCATCATGCTGCATCGATGGCTGAACAACAAGCCATCGAAGCAATGCGAGCTAGACAGTTAGCGGCCCAAGCCGAAGAACATGCGACCCAGGTCCAGTCCCAGGCTCAATTTGTTGTCCATGAGACTCGCCAGCAGGCTGAGAACATGGTAGGACAAGCTAAGGCTCAAGCAGAGGCTATGGTCGGTCATGTGAGGGCACAAGCTGAGCAGTACGTTCAGTCCCAACAGCATGAACATGTTCAACGTCAGCGTCAGCTGGAGCAACAAGCTCATCAGTGGGCGTCCGGCGTCGAGGCCGCATATCGTGCCGGTGTAGACCAAGTAAACACAACCTTGACTGCCGAACTCATCGAACTGCAGAGTCAGAACGCGTACCTCACACAGCAACTGGCCGCGAGATCGCCGGTCCCAAGCTCCACCGATCTCACCAGCGCCCTCAACACAACCCCTTCACAGTGTCCGTTCGACATTGAGCCACCAAGTAGAAGGCTCCGAGTTCGCTGCGCCTTTCCAGGCGGCCCAGCACAGCAATGTGCCCACGACGGCTCAAGCCGTCGATATGCGGATTCCGAAGAGTTTTCATCACATGGCTCCACAAGAATTTTATGTCGGAACGCCAGTCGGCACACCTCACGGTGGTGCTACACCTGTGTTACGGGACTCAATGTATGTTGCTGCCCTTGAGCGTGAACTTGGTCAAACGAGAGAGATGTTAAACCAGGTATTGTCATTAGTACAGACTGGATATCCTCCCGTACCACCACCGCCTGAGCATGGGTACCCATGCCGTTTCGCATGACACCAGCACCACCGCCAGGTCTGATGATTGAGGTCCCAAGTGCGTGTCCGAAACCTTGTGCCTGTGCACCGATGCCGGCCGGATACCCAAACCCCGCAGCAAATGTTGCAGCGTCATCGACGCAACCACCTCCACCACAACCAGGAGCAAGGGTCTTGCCACCTTCTTTCCCCGTCTTTGAGCGGACTAAGAAAGAGGATGGTGGTGGCTCCCCAAGTTCCTCATCTTCATCTAGTGATAGCGAAGTAGAGGACTTATGTAGGATGTGTGGGGGCAAGCATCGGGAGATTAGGTGTCCACATCTCACCATGAATAAAGAAGATCATAAAGTAGAGTCAACCCCGACTGCTAGTTCGGAAGTTACCGACTATGCGGAGCATGAGTCCGAGATTGTCTATGTCAAGGGCTTGACAAACCTGATTCTACCCAACATACCAGTTGATTCGGGTCAAGCACGGGGCTACATCAACCAGGTTCTCATGAACATC